CCGGCGGCGCCCGGCGGCCGGGAGCGCCCTGCGCGCAGTGCTGCGCTGCAACCTGCCCCCCGGTGCCCAGCGCGTGGTGGTTTTCGCGGTGCTGGCGCTCCTCGTCCTCATCAACGTCGTGCTGATATTCCTGCTGGCCTTCCGCTGAGCGCTCGGGGACCGCGCCGCGGTGAGTGGCCGGGACCGGGCCCCCAGCCTTGCCCCAGGCCTCCCAGCCCCGCCCCCCTCGGCGATCGCGGGTGTCCCCAGCCCAGGTGACAGCCCGGTGCGATTCCGGGCCCCGCGACCCCCGGCCCGCACCGGAGGTTGCCCCTCCCAGCCCCCTGGGCCCGTGTCTGATAGTGTGAGCCCACCGCGACCGGCAGCCATGCTGGTGACTCGGGGGTGGTGACGCTTGGGCCACAGGGCCACCCGACTGTGTGTGTCTGTGTGTGTGTGTGACATGATAAATTGTGTGTGTGTGTAACATGGCAGATTATGTGTGTGTGGATGCGGATACAGCTTGGCGGAAACCGCTGGCGTGTGACCCCCTATGAGCGGACCTGGGCACCATTACTGTGTGGGTTGTGAGACATGAAGTCGATGGAAGATGAGCACTCTCCTCCTCGCTTTTTACCTGCAGTTGCTTTTCCCATTTTAAGTGGTCTCTCTCAGCCGATCCCCTACCACAGGCAGAGGCCCCCCCCCAGCCCCCTTACAGGTGGGTCATCTGAACACCCACTCCCTCATTTCCAGCCTGTCAGCAGGTGCCCTCCAGCAGCTTGTACGTGATTGAGAGGAAGACCTGGGGGACAGGGTGGAAGGGTGTGGGCAGTAGTCACCAGCTCTTTGTCAAACTAGGCCTCCCTCTCTCCCATAAAATATCAGCACAAAGAGGATTCTGCCCCTCTCACATTTGAAATTGTCCCTCTAGTTGAACAGTCTCCCATTTGCCCCCACATGGACCCCCATGCCTCTGAAGCAGCTTCAGCTCTGCTGCCAGGCCCCTCCACCTACCCATCGCACCTCAGGACAGAGTACTGGGATGGCCCTTTCCCCAAAACTGGCCAAGAGTGGGCCCCGGTGGCTACAATGTGTCCTGTGTCCAGCAAGGTGCTGGGACAAGGTATGATGAAGGTGAGCATCCCTCACCACCGAGCGCTAGAGGCGATCTGGCAGATAAGACAGAACTTGTCTGTGAATGCGTGGGGAACCCTGGCTCTCTAGGAAGCCCCACACCTGTAGCCCTTGCCCAGTTCTTGTGTAGGAACTTACCAGTGTGGCCTTCTATCTTTCAACAAGGACAGGAGGATAAACCAGAGGTGGGGTGGGGCGCTGAGGTGAACAAGAGGGCATGTTGCTCAGGGCTCATTTGAGGGAACCTGGGGAAAGGATGATGGCTGAGGTAGGAACAACCTGGGAAGAGAGATTGTGGGGGGGAGTCTCACTTCTCCCTCCAATCTGGGCACCAGCAGTGGGACGGCCCCAGATCGATCCTGAGCTGCACAGCATGCAGCTGATATGAGCTGAGCAAACGCATCCACCTGCACTCCCAGATACTGTCTCAGCAGAAGGAGGGTTGCACCCCATTAGCCAGCCTGTGGATAAGCCCAGACAGGTGCATGTTGGGGGTATAGAACACCCACTTCTCCAGGATCAAAGCTACAAAGCTGAAATGAGAAGTTTTGTTCCCAGTATTCAAACCTCAGTTTGCCTAAAAGGTTCCAGGAGCCAACCCCTGCATTGGCTCACAACAGGAAAGTTCCCAAGTTGCCACGGCAACCTTTATCCCTATGACTTTCTCATTGGCTCCTGGCACCTGTATCCTGTATCTTGCTTCTTCCTTGCTCTCACCAGGCCTGGAGGGGTATCCTGCAAGTGGGGAATATGCGGCGTGGGCTGCTCTTTCTAGTGCCTGCCCCCTGGCTACAGCAGCCTTGCCTCCCTGCCTCCTCCTGACTCATCCAGTTTGATCCAGGGGTTGGGCCTGTGACAAGGAGCGACATGCCTGCAGTGGGTCTTTCAGGCTGACTGGCCCCTTGAAACATGTGGGCCCCAGGAATGCCCAGGACTCTGTGCCCAGACTGGGCACCAGGAATGTACAGCCCCTTTGGCTGCTGCATGAGAGGGAGTGTACTCATAGGCCAAGGACGAGTCTGCTGAATGGTTTCATCAGGACCTTGAAGCACTTTTACCCCAGAAAACATGAAGAACTGGTGGTTCTGAATGTGCTTGCTCTAGCCCACCCTACCTCTTGCCTGGTCTATTCAGGGCACAGTGGAGGTCTCTTCAAGCATCAACTGGAACCCACTCAAGTGGGTGACGCTGCCATGCCTACTCTGATTCGCATTTTGCTCTAAGGATTAGCTCACACCAGGGAAAGCTCTATTGGACCTGAAGCCAAGGGAGGTTTTATATAGAGGGGGTTGGGGGAAAGGGCAGTTCACAGGAGGAAACTGTAGGCACAGAGGGTCTGTCACCAAGGTCTTCGCTGCTTGACTTAAGAGCCAGAGCTGATTTCATAAGAACCAACATTTGGCCCCTTGGGAGAGGAACAAGGAACTTGCAGTTCCTAGCGGTCATGTCCACTTCAGGCCTCCTTGTAAGCCCTGACAGTCTAGCCATGCCCAGGGTAGAGCCCTGCCCCACAAAGAGCAGCTGGCTCAGAGGAGACCTCCCTCCATCCCTCTGTACCAGCAGTCAGGATCTCCTTTGCCCAGGGCTGCTGAAGGTGTGAGGCAGAGGACAGCAGCACCTGCCCCTCAAGGAAACGCCCATGTGGCATCCTGACCCCACTGACCTGTGTGTCCCTTGCTCTCTCCACAGCTCATCAGCGATGGCAGTGTGGTCTGTGCTGAAGCACTCTGGGACCATGTCACCATGGATGACCAGGAACTGGGTTTCAAAGCTGGGGATGTCATCGAAGTAATGGATGCTACCAACCGAGAGTGGTGGTGGGGCCGTGTCGCCGACGGCGAGGGGTGGTTTCCAGCCAGCTTCGTGCGGGTATGGTGCCTTGCATTTCCAGGCCCATGGGGAGCAGGGCTCTGCTCAGAGCTGCAAGCCTGAAGCCTAAGGTGTTGGCTCTGCTCAGAGCTGCAAACCTGTGAGGCCTAAGGTGTTGGGCAGGTGCTCACTCAGGGCCAGGGCGGCACTGCTGGCCGAGAGCTGGGACAGGCATTCAGGGAGGTGGTCCAGGTGGCTTCACATAGCCTGCTTGCTCCAGCAGAGCCACCACTGACCCCTACTCCACCCAACCTCCAGTGCCTTCAGGGGGCAGAGCAGACCAGTTCTCCAAGGGCGATCAGCATGCTCGAATACCACTACCAACAACTTGCTTTTCTAGGCATTTACTAAGTCCTGTGAAAATAATGACAAGGGTCCCATCACCCCTCTGTGACCTTCACAGCAGCCCACAGCTGGGCACTGCCAGTTACGCCTGAGGAAATGGGGGCATGGCAGGTTAAATCTTATACAAAGAGATCCCAGGGAGGGCTCCCCCTCCCCCCAAAGCTACCTAATAAGGCCTTTGGTCTTCAAGGGAGGAATGCAGTGCATTGTCCAAAATGCATTGGGAACAGGGAGGTCCAAGGTTCTGGGAGTCAGGCCTTCTCCTGCCCCAGGCCTTACCCCCACAAAGTGTCCACCCTGCACCCATGCCTCTCCTAAGTACAGGTCAGAGCCAGTCGGTCACATGGCCCACCCCTTTGTCCCAGGCCCTAGAGGGGCTTGCCGGCTGAGGCAGGAACACCAGGTGGCCAGCGCCTGCAGAGAGTAGGGAGAAGAGGGGCGGCTTTGTGCACAGATAGCAAGTGCAGTCCTGCAGCACCCCAGACGGGCACTGAGCCAGTGCCGGGCAGGGTGTCCAGTATCTCCTGCCGACTTCCTGAGTCCTGGATGGATGGGAGCTGCGGGGATGCTGACTGGCACGTTGCCTGCAGCTGCGTGTGAACCAGGACGAACCCCCTGACGACGCCTGGCGGCCCATGGCCCCCGAGGCCCAGGAAGAAGGGGTGGAGGTGCCCGGCAGCAAAGAGCAGATGCGGACCAATGTGATCAAGGAAATCCTCAGTACGGAGCGCGACTACATCAAGCACCTGCGAGACATCTGTGAGGTGAGGGGCGTGGTGGCTGGGCCGGGGTCCGCGATGGGCCAGACCTGACCCCTGCCGCCCCCAGGGGTACATCCGGCAGTGCCGCAAGCGCGCGGACATGTTCAGCGAGGAGCAGCTGCGCACCATCTTCGGGAACATCGAGGACATCTACCGCTGCCAGAAGGCCTTCGTGAGGGCGCTGGAGCGGAAGTTCAACCGCGAGCGGCCTCACCTCAGCGAACTGGGCGCCTGCTTCCTGGAGCACGTGAGCGCCTCCCCCCAGCCGGACCTTGGGGATGCAGACCACATGACCCGCCCCCACCCCTCCTGGGCTGGTGGCTCCCCTCACCCCCAGGCCCGGGCCTAGGCCCACAGCTCCCCCTTACCCTGGGCCTCTCTACTTCCACCACAAGCTCTCAGGCCTCACTTGTAGCTGCCTTCGCCCCTCACCCTGTTTATTATAGAAGTGTCTATGCTTCTGCCTGTCCAACGTGGCAGAACAGGCTCCCTGATCAGAGGGGCATGGGTCTTAAAGGATTTGCTTAGGTCAGAGTAGAAGTGGCAGGGGTATCCTGGGGCTCAGCACACAGTGAGCAAACCTGCCACGGTGTGGAGCTGACAGTGCTTGCTTGCACTTTGATACCTGGTCAGTGGCCTGAACTGGTCTAGATGGACCTCTGGCCTTGCCTGCAAGAAAAGCCCTATTTCCATCACACTCCTGTGCCACCCTTGTGGGCTGGAGCAGAGGAGGCCACGTCCATCCTACCAAGGGTATTGGAAGAGCTGCCATCTCTCTTCAGTGGTGGGAGAACTAGGAAGGGAGGCCTTAGACTGGGCACCTGAGGGAGCAGGTGGTGGATCGGGATGCTGAGTGAATGTAGGGGGCCCAGGTATTCAGCAAACAGTATGAACATCGCAGCAACCCAGCAGCCAGCCGCGCTCACCCTCCTTACCCACCCAAGGCCATGAAGCTTGAGGTTGCTAAGCAGCAGGCCTGATCTCTCACTGTATCCAAGGAAACAAAGTATTAAAAAAAAATAAAATAAGAGGCTAAGAGGCACCACAAGCTTCAGGTCCAATACACACACAGTTTGGACATATCTCTGTCACGCTGCATTGACTAAATTGATGGAGGCTTTATATCCTGCAGATGGGAAACCAGAGCTCTGTGAGGAAAAAAAAAAAGACTCTGAGCTGAGGATGAAGACACAAAATGTACAGCCATAGGCCCTGGCATCTTTAGTCTGTTGTCTTCTCCCATCCTTCTTTCTCTGTGGGCTCGGCAGTCCTCCTTATTCCCATCATCCCAGACTGAGGAACTAGCTGCAGAGGGCCCTGTTGAGAAAAGGGGGTGGGGTCGGACTCTGGCACAAGGTCTTTTATGCCCCTGGGTGTGATTGAGGTAGGGGGGTACCTCCCCAATCTGCACCCCAGAAGCCAGGGGAGCCTGAAGACAGCCACTCTAACCTCCAACTGTGCCCCCAGCAAGCAGACTTCCAGATCTATTCGGAGTACTGCAACAACCACCCCAATGCCTGCCTGGAGCTTGCTCGGCTCACCAAGCTCAACAACTACGTATACTTCTTTGAGGCCTGCCGGCTGCTACAAAAGATGATCGACATCTCCCTGGATGGCTTCCTGCTCACACCGGTGCAGAAGATCTGCAAGTACCCTCTGCAGCTGGCTGAGCTGCTCAAGTACACACCCCCCCAGCACAGGCAAGTGGTTTGGAGGGGCGGTGAGCCCTGGGGTGTGAGCACTGGGCAGGGCTGCAGACACAGGGTAATGCAGCAGGGGTCTTAGAGCTGTCACTGCACTAAGGGAAGAGCAGAGAACTAGCATATGTTCCACTTGTGCCCACATTGATGGATAAAGGTGGAGAAGGGCCAAGAAAAGAGGTGAAGATGGCCCCAAAGGGAAGAAGCTACTCAGGTTGCTCTGGGGCTCAGCCCCTGTCTACTCACTGTGGCGACCCGACCCCATCTCTGTTCTGCCCCAGGGATTTCAAGGATGTGGAAGCTGCCTTACATGCCATGAAAAATGTGGCCCAGCTCATCAACGAACGGAAACGGAGGCTAGAAAACATCGACAAAATTGCTCAGTGGCAAAGCTCCGTAGAGGACTGGGAGGTGAGGGCCTGACATCCCAGAAAATGTGGTGGTGCTGGACCGGTGGACTCGAAAGTCACACATCCCCTAGAAGTTCCAGGAGAGAGGAGTCATGGTCCTGGTAACTAGAGAACAGGAACTGGAGATAGCAGGAAAGTCAGGCCTCCCTTGGCCCCAGGCGTCCCAGCTCTAGGTAGAGAGCTGCCTTCCAGAGTGACCAGCCTGGCTACCTGCTCTTCAAAGGACAAGGCCTCTTGAGAGGTACTGCCTCTTGCAAAGTGCAGCTAGCCAAGCTGGAAAGAGGAGCTGTTTCCCTGTCCTGGGCCAGGCCAGATCCCCAATTTTAGTCACTACCGCCAACAGGAGGCCCAGACTGCCAGAGTATGACCAAACATGGCTGGCCACTGGCCAGGGCTCCCAGTTCATTTTTCTGGCTTGTATGTTCCCCTCGTATCTCCCAAGCTTGCCTTCTAAGGCAACCTGGAGGCCTGAAATAGAGATGACATTCCACCCTCTGTGGCATTCCTACCCCACAAAGAGCGAATGTTATGGCAGTGCAGCTTCCTGGGCTTCGCTCTAGGAAGAAGGAATTAGAATCCCTGGGATGGGTTTTGTCCTTCATTTTCTGGCCATTGGTTCTGAGGCCCAGCCCTAGCTGAGGACCTCTAGAGAGTTACCCCAAATAGAAAGACTGTCAGCAGCGCCTGGCTGTGGTTTGTGTTTTCAGGAAGAAGAAGGGGCAGGACTTAAGTCTGAAGTCTGATGACAGACTTCAGGTACTAAACACACTTAACTGGGAAGAAAACCTCCTAAGAACCCTTAAAAGGCAGGCTGTGGAGGTGACTTGACTTCAGGTCTAATTCACTGTTGAGTGTTGAGAGCAACACTATACAATCAAAATAGCATGTGGATGACACAGGGAATGTTCTGCTTCTGGTAGCAGCCATGTTAAAAGCAGGAACAGTTGAAACAAAAATGTTTTTTAACAGTGCCTCCAAAATACCATTTCAACAGAAGCTATCTTTAGTGAACTATTTCACTGTTTTAATAAGGCTCCCAAATCTGTGTGTGTTACTCACATGTCATGGGAATTAGCCACATTTCTGGTACTTGGTCTTGGCTGCCTGGAGTCCCATTCTGCAGACAACAGCACCAAGGTCATACCACCTTTTCAAACCCCTTCTCATGGCCCCCACTACATCCTTGGACTCCGGAACAGCTTTTCCCCGTGACTCAGTGCCCTCAGTGGTGTGGCTTAGTGGGGACACCTGCCCCCACCCTCTAGAGGCAGACACGGAGCTCAGAAGAGTTGACGAGGGACTGGGGAAAGGGGGCCTTCTTGATCCACAGCCCAGTGCTCTCAGGTCATGCTTCTCTTTGGGGTCCCCAGGGGGAAGACCTCCTGGTCCGAAGCTCAGAGCTCATCTATGCAGGGGAGCTAACTCGTGTGACACAGCCGCAGGCCAAGAGCCAGCAGAGGATGTTCTTCCTGTTTGATCACCAGCTCATCTTCTGTAAGAAGGTACCAAGTCGGAGCTGCCCTGCCTTGTCTTCAGTCAGCTCAGAGCAGGGTAGAGATGTGAAGCAGAGGGGTGGGCTGGGTGGCCTAGAACCTGGCCACCTGCTCCTCCCTTCCCCCTCCTCTCCACCAACACACTGGCAGCTCCTCTCCCCCAGGCCCCTTCCCTGGTCAGGCCTTAAGGCCCAGGTATACGATGAAGTGAGCCTCAAAGTCTTGGGCCACGAGATGTCTGCCCAGGTTTGGTGCTGCTCAGAACACCCTAGTCCCTAACCCAGCTCCTGCTGTTTCTCAAGCCAGCCCCTCCCTGCAAACCTCAGATCCCCTCTCTAACCCTCTACCTCAGCTGCCTCCTGGCCTCCTCATTGCTGCTCTGCTTCTGGCTTCTCCAGTACAGCCCACATGGCCCTCTTGACCACCAGCCCACCGGTTCTGGGGTGTCTGTACTGTGGACCTGCCCATTACCTGCTTCCAGGGCTCCTTCCCTGAGTGCACGGCCCCCAGCAGTCTGCTCACTGAAGGAGGCGCTCCCACAGGGTGGGCTTCAGCAGTCATGGGCTGCACCAGAAGGCTCGGCCCTTGGAGGGGCATGTGTACAGCCCTTCCAGTAACAGGGAATGGGGAAAAGATGCCAGGCTTGTACAGGGCCAGGGACTCATAGGACTCCTCCTGCAGGACCTTCTCCGCCGTGACATGCTGTACTATAAAGGCCGAGTGGACATGGACGGCTTGGAAGTGGTGGATCTGGAGGATGGGAAGGACAGAGACCTTCACGTGAGCATCAAGAACGCCTTCCGACTGCACTGCAGCCCCACAGGGGAGAGCCACCTGCTGTGCGCAAGGAAGCCTGAGCAGAAGCAGCGCTGGCTGAAGGCCTTGGCCAGGGAGCGGGAGCAGGTGCGGCTGGACCAGGAGACAGGTGAGAACCTGCTCAGCCTTCCTCACCCCTATAACCAAGGTCAGCACAGCCCTGAACTGTCTCACAGTGCAAGGCCCCAGGGTGCGTCCCTACTCCACTCCCCACCTGTCCAGTTTCAGCCCCAGAGCATGGGGTCTGCCAGCTGGTTGAGGACAACACTGGAGAAGGTGGCCTCCTGAGTTAGCTCCTAGTGAGCAGTCTCTCCTCATGACGCCCCTGTCCAGGGATCCCTCGGCATCACTCTTAGTGACCAGCTCAGCTGTGTGTGAGGAAGAGCTTCCAGCACAGTGCAGAGAAAGAACATGAGGCATGGGACGGGTGGGGGGAATGGAGCTGGGTGCAAAATGGGGCTACGTGGAAGATCCCAGAGGTACCCAAAGCAGCTCCCCTGCTGGGTTGGCCAAAGTAAGCCCCTGTGGCAAAAGAGACCCAAGCACCTAGGAGGTAAAGGGTGCACAAGACAGTACCAGGGCTGGAAAGCAGGGCAGGAGAAGCAGGCCAGCCACACACTGAGGAGACAGGGCTCTCCCACCCCTCTTAGGCTTCTCCATCACGGAGCTGCAGAGGAAGCAGGCCATGCTGAATGCCAACAAACAGCAGACCACGGGGAAGCCCAAAGGTAAGTGGATGGTAGTCCCGCCTAACTATGGCGGCTGGCCCTAGGGTGAGCGGCCTCTAACCCCCCACAGCCAAGCCACCTAGCACCTGGGTCCTCTGAGCTGCCCGCTGCCCTTTGCAGGTGTTTGTCCCCAAAGGATGGCCCTCAAAGGGACCATCCATCAATGATGAAGCTTGGCACTCTTGCCTTCAATCCCTCAGACTCTCCACAGTGGACTCACTCCCCCCAGGGCCAGACTGCACTCTGGCAGCAGCCTCCCAGCCTGGCCAGGAGTCCACATCCTCATTCCAGAGACCTTCATGCCTTTCAAGGCTTGTGCCACAGTGGCGCTCCAGGGCCCTGCCCTTTAGTCCCTGGGTCATCCCCTCTGCATCCCCTAGTGTGGTCAGCCATCAGGGGAGCAAGTGCCCTCCCATAGGGGTCTGAAGCCTAACCTCAGTAGGGTGGGCCCACCCCAGCCCCACAGCAGAGGCTGTAGCTTGCGCCTGGGCCCTCTGGCTCCCTCAGCCCTGACTTCACTCGTTTCTGCTCAGCCCTCGGCCGGCCCTACTATCTGACACGCCAGAGGCACCTGGCACTGCCCACCAGCCTGCCCCAGAAACAGGTCCTGGTACTGGCGGAGCCCAAGCCGAAGCCATCCACCTTCTGGCACAACATCAGTCGACTGGCGCCCTTCCGCAAGTGAGCAGTACCACAGGCAGCAAGTGGACCTTTGCCTGCCAACAGGCGGGCCTCTGGCTTTTTCTCCCCAAGGCCCCACAGCAAGCCCTCCTCTGCTATTACGCAAACTGGGAGTGAGCAGGGGACGGGCATAGCTCAGTGCCACTGATACATGCCAGTTCTATGCCCCTGCTCTTGGTTTCCTCCCACTCCCGGTGCACTGATGATCCCGGCTGGAGAGGAAGGGACCTTAAGCATGGGAACCTCCTACATCCCAAGACTCTTGGGGCCTCAGCCAGTATGTGAGAAGACTGGCCACTCTGGACCCTCTTCTTTCGACATCTGGTCGTCCCAGCTTCTGTTTCCTGCGGAAGGCAGGAGAGACCATCTGCCTTCACCACCCACAACACTAGGCTGTGGGGCCCTCGGCCCTGTCCTCCTTGCTGGGCCCCAGCCAGGTGGTGACAGCAAGCAACATGCCTCCCTGGAGGACTGGGAAAGCACTTCTGCACACCAATGCTGGGCCTACCCAAGCTGACCCCACCCACCTGGCATCGGACACCCTGCACCTCTAGCTCATGTATTTCTAGTGTAAACAAAAACACTAGTCGGCGACATATGTCAGGGTTTGTCACCAGTCCACCTGTACTTGTGGGTGACCCCTGAATCTGGTTTTGGTTTTGTTGCATTCTGTTGCTTTTCTGACACTGCAGAATTGTCATTAGTGACTCAGAAAGATTGCCTTACCCCAAGTGAGTGTGAGAAGCCATAAGGACTGAATTCTGCGGCCTAGTCTCCAGGGCTGCCCACCACCCAGAGGCTGGCAGACTCTGGGTTTAAGGGTTGCCCGCATCCTGCTAAGAAAAGTACTGTGAGAGTGGCCTGGCTGTGGGTGAGTGTCGAGCCAACCCTCTGGTCCTTGGGAATTCAGCGCATGTACAGTCAGTCTCTCTTGCACTAAACCTCCAAGCCAGAAACCACATTTAATTTCATAAAGAAACTTGTGAAAAAAATAATCTGGCTGAGCCTTGTTTTTTGTCTGTACATTTTCTCCTCAGCTTGCTCGTCTTTCCTGTGCAGTAGATCAGACTTTTCCTTAAATAGGAGGAAGGAACCCCACAGCACCCCTCCCCAGGAGATGCCCTCAGTGCTCAGGAGGAGAGCCTTGGTGCTTCAGAGGCCTGGAAGGAGGGCCCGGCTCTCCTGCCTTCCAGACATGGGTGCAGCTCCCTCATATGGGCTCCCAGGCTTTAGGGGGTGGTGAGTTAGCAAGTATGAGTTTGGGGGGTAGGGTTCATCATCTTTCTGGGCCTCAGCATCCTCAACGAAATGAAGATTACACCTTCCTAGGAGAATCCAGGCTATGGGACCAGAAGAGGTGAACAACAGGGCTTCCCTCCCCTGACCAACTCAGCAAACAGCCCACAGCCTGATGCCCGAGCTCATCACCACATCACTGGGGCTAAGCAGAAGGGCTCTGCCTGAACCCACTGAATTTCCCCAACTGGAGAGCAGCTACCACACCTCCCAACTGGGCCAAACCACTGTTAGAGAAGATCGACAAAACAATCATGAAAACCACAATATGCAACACAAGTCAATCTTTATTGAAAACTGCAGTATTAATACATAACAATTCTTGTTACAATAAACGTGCTTTTTAAGAATTTTAAATCTGAGCTGATCTATTCATCAGATTGCATAAAAAATTAAAATAGTATGAATTTACACATAATGGAACTGGCTCAGGATGGATGTTCCATTCTTTTGTATTGATTGACATGGTAAGTTCAATGCAAAGGTGAGGGGTGCCTGTAACACTGGAAGACAATTTTGACTCAAGCTTAAAAAAAGTACCAAGAGACAGGTCTTAAAAAAAAAAAAACACAATATTTAAAAATCATTAAAAGAAAATAAAGTAACCTTATTTCCTAGTCAGTCAAAGCCCCCGTGGGCTTTGGGCTTCTCCTGGGGCTGTCACAGCAACCCTACCTGGCGCCAGCTGCAATCCAACCCAGCTAATCTACGGCCTACTTGGCCCACAGAGACCAGCGGCTAAGTCCACGGGAGAAGGGTTCCAGCAGACTTCAGGGCCCTCCAACACTCAATCACAGGGAACCCTTCTCAAGTTCGCCAGGGGCTCCTGAGCAGACACCTGCCTCCCTGTGTCCCTGTAACTTGGCTTAGTCCTCGGGCCTCAAGGTTATCCCACAGGTTTTGTTTTCAAATGAACAGAGGAAAGAACCCAATTCTCTAAAACAGGTAAGATCAATTCTGCAACCTTCTCAAGGACAAGACCACTTCCTCCATGTCTTCTGCAGTCTAGCCAGAAATCCACTGTGCCTTCAGAAAGCTCACGTTCACTAATGAACAGCTCAGGGCAAACAAACAGCTGAGATGTGCAAGAGAAGCAAGCTGAGCAGTCCTCCCGCCACAGCCAACCACACTCCTCTTCAGAGAATACCCATCCCCCAAAAAGCACCAGAGAGAGGAACTAGAAGTTGCCTCTCACTTTGGGCCACCCTTAAACCTGCATTTGTGCCCTCTGGGAGGTCAGCCAGGCGTCCTGTCCTAAGCAACACCCATGCTGGCAATGACTGGGACGTCCAGCCGTTAACAGCCTGACTAGGTGGCCCAGCTGGAAACACGTGTTTTCAAAAGGAGAGGTGAAGTCTAGCTTTCATTTGTAGAGAAGGCCAAAATTGACTTCTCTGGCACGTGCCATCCTTTCACCACCACTGGCAGGAACTCACAGATACCATGTGGGAACAACGCTGTCCACAATTAGTGCATCCAAAGTGCCTTAAGAATAGATTTCCTCTCACTGAAGAGTAGAGCCACCAGATGGAACAAGCAGCACCTGCCCAGCTGGAAAAGGGCAGGGCGCTCTCCAACCAGGAGCCCAACCCAGGAACTGTCACTCCTGTAAATATGACCTTTTCATAGCACTCAAGGAACAGTCAGAGAAAAGCAAATGGAAGGCCTAAAACTCTACCAACAACATGCTCTGAAAACAGTTAACAGAGGAGACAGAAATGTCTGAAGTGCCCTGTGCCTGTTAACACAAACGGCCCCGATGCTGACCTCACTGCTGAGGCTGCAAGCTCATGCCGAGGACAATGCTCCTTGATGACCTCAGTCACTGCTGGACCCAAGCAAGAATCCCAGAGAGAAAACCAGACCTCCAAACTAAACGAGAGGTTGCAGCACTCATTTTTTTGATTCCATGATGTCCATGTTTACAAGAATTAGGTCCTTGCTTGCCTGTCTCAACTTCTGAAAGAACCGTAATTCAGCTGAAAACGACTGAAACTAGAAATGACACACAGGAAAAAAACTTCTCTGATTGCTCCACTATTGTGCGTGGGATATTAAATAATGCAACTCTAACAGAAGTTTTACTCCTTAATTTCAGTGGAACTAAATATTGCTTAAATTATAACCTATGATTGTTTTGTTAATATTATGTCCAGATCCTTACTGCTAGACAAGACCTACCTTTCATATTTGATAGCTTATGCCCAAAGTTTCAAAACTGCAAAGATACCCACACCTATAATGTGAAAGTATCTGATAAAGTCTCCCAACTCATATTCACAAAAGGTAAAAAAGATTAAAAAAATTATAGGGGAAAAAGTGTTTATGAAGCTGATGTAGAGGGGAGACGGATACAACCCATTCTTCTTTCTCCTGAAAACATCCTTTAAACTCAGTGCTCATGGAAACACTCGCCCAGTGTGTGCTGGCCTGAAAAACATCCCACATAACTTCTCAGAACTTCCTGAATTCCTACGACCCACCCTTCACACCTAGTCTCACACGTGTGCACACGTGTCTCTTTCTTCCCACTTTGTTGATTGGGGGCATTTATTTTTAAGCACACACTAAACCTGTATTTTCTCCTAATCTAGAATCACTAAAATGGGAAACTAACTTCTCTGTGGTTCAGCCCTGGGATCCTTAGAACCTAGTCCTATTACAGATGATCCACCATACAGATGTTAATAGCAACACAGAGCTGAAGAAGTGGACGCAAACTGTGTGCCTGGGACAAATGGCTGCTCACACATGTTCACACTCATTCACACACACACTTGTGCGCGTGTGCACACATGGATTAAGTGCTCATGAAGCAATTTACTTACCAGTAAACACACTATGCTAATGGACATTAGGAATAAGGAAATCTTCTGTTTACAATGATTCATGCAAAAAATATTCCTAAATTTCTTGTAAAAGAAACATGAGAATGAAAATCATGAAGACTACTTACTATAAAAAATACGATTACCAAAGGCTCAGGGGTCAGGTGCCCCACTCACTAATCGGGGCAGAATGCCAAATCAGCGCCAGAGTCCTGAGCTAGCTGCCAGAGACAGAAGAGCAGAGCCCACCCCACCCCCCAACCAAAGCCCACACTGGAAAACAAGATGGGGAGAACAGGGGCACACTCACCCTGCCTGACAGACACTGAAAGAGAAGGAAAACCCTCACCTCCCCACCCCCTCTGACTCTGAGAACAGATACACAATTCCATTGATACAAGTTGGGCACATTTAAGCAAAAAATTCCTCTTAATTCTTATGTACATAATTCAGATTTTAAACACAAAATCCTTTCCATAATAAACTGTGGCAAATGCATTCTCTACTGCCCAGCTCCTTGCCATCCATACTTGCTTTGTACTGAGTACCCTCAGCTGCCAGAGACGGCAGAAAAGGTTCACGGACAACAGGCACCAGCCCTTCCCTCAGCTCCCCACACTGTTTCCAAGACCTTCAGACAGGCTCACAGGACAAACCTATCCCATGGACAGGGCCAAACAGTCACCTGCACTGCCTCTCTGCAAGAAATGATTAATTTCAAATAAAGTTTTGTTCCCTTTTAATAGTCCTTAAATATACAACTTTCTTCATAACACACAACTGAAACTGGCCCTTCTTTGAGGGAAGACCAGAAATGTTTTCAGCTGATTCAAACACTTCTCAGGAAAAAAGAAAAGGAATGACTATTTAAGCTAAATAAAAGAGAGATCAACATCTTCTCTAAGTTTGGTTGTTTCTCTTTCATGTATCTTCCTTCCATCCCAGGAAAATAATATAGCTCTACAGAGGACTTCTCCAATATATAGAAAACAACATCTCTACCTCTAAGAGACTTGTAACAAAAATTTAGGTAACAGAGAAAATTGCTTTGCTGATACATAAACCACCTCTTGCCCCCAAATGTACTGGCCACACAACTCTAATCTCTCATGATCAACTTTCAGTATGTCCACATTACACCGGCCCAGCAAGTGGAAGGAAGGGATGCCCTAGGGCACCCCGGCAGCTGCAGCCTACCTCCACTCCGGTCCCTGGAACCCCCTCTCGTACTGTCAGTGCAGAAGAAACAGATGGCAGAAAACAAAAAGTCCATGTCTCCAACTGGCAACCCAAATCAACCCCAAAGGGTTGAAGGATCATCTAAGAGATTTCAAATGCTCGATGAAGAAATTTACGTTAACACATAACTTTAAGACTCTGCATACATTGCAACAGTGCATTAGTGATACAAGTTGTAAAATACGTTTCCATTCCTTTGGGTTTTGCATATGATGGTTTTGCATCAGTCACTGCAGGTAGATTGAGCAAGCTTTGTTTTTGTGTTTGTTTTTTTAAACATGCATTCAACTAGATATGATTCAGAATAGAGTAATACTCCCTTTTTAATCATTATAGTTAGCTAAAAAATTGCCAGGCAGCCCACAAAACAGGATTTACTTTAAGACCAACCCACAGAGTCAGTTGGAGACTAATGGCGCTGGGACCTGCTGGGCCGGGCGTAGTGTGTTTAGCTAAGTGTTGAGAGCATTAAGAAGAAAGTCCTGGTTGGAGGCACGAGGCCTGCAGCACCAGCTGTGTAACCTCCGTGATGTGACTGCACAGCTCCATCCTCAAACCTAGGGAGAAGACAGACAGCACGTGGTTACAAGGGGCTCCTCTGCTGCGTGAGCCCTAGGAAAGGCGTTTTTACTCAGGGGAGAACCAGCAAGGGAGAAAAAGAATGGCCAGTAGATCTTACCTCTGTCCTGCAGGAGGCAGGTGGGGAAATTACACATTCCACAGAAAGAACCAAGGGCCTAGGTGTCCAGTCAGGACTCAGTGGTGTCTACCCTTCTCCTATTTTGTACCCCGAGTAAGAACAAACCTTTTTAGACACTGCACTGCCCTCAGTCAACAGCAGTTTTCTCATTAGTGCTTAGTATATAATAAGATCTGCCATTTTCCACTGGAAAATGAGTCAATCCAGGCATGACTGGTCACTTACGTTTGCAGGGTGATCACCACTGAGGGGGCACGTAGCTGTAAGTGGGTGTTCCTGGGGCCCGATACGTGGGCACAGTGACTGGATGGGGGGCAACAGGAGTTGGGGAGTGAGCAGTCAGCAGGGTACCTGGAAGGAAGAGCAGGGAGCCTTAGTGGCAAGCAGCACTGCCCACACACCAAGCTGGCTTCGTATCATCATATGCTCCAGGGTCATACCAACTTTGACAACTTTGGCCTTTTTTGCAAAACGGAAGTGATAGAGAAGGAGTAGACAGATCTCATCTAGATTCCTGTCAGAGCTCTGGTTATATACAATGCAATGTCTTAGAAACACAACAACTGTTTGTAGAGCTTCTGTGCCTCTCCTTCGAACACTCAATGAGTTTTGTAGATCAGACAACAAAATAAAAATTAGGCAAAAAAAAGGAAGTTCTCCAAAAAAGAAAGAAAGAAAGTTCTGACACATGCAACACCTGAAGAACATGATGCTGAGTAAAATAAGCCAGTTACAAAAAAGAAATATACCATATGAGTCCACTTACATAAGGTCAGAAAAGAACAAAGTAAAATCATGGGTACCAAACAGAGACTGGAGGAAGCAAAAGGGGGATTTTGTTACAAGATGAAAAAGTTCTGGAGACCTGTTTCACAACAGCATAAATGTACTTAACACCACTCAGCTACATACTTTTTCAAAAATAGAGAAGATTCAACTATCTGAGATCCTAAGTAGTTTAAGAGAAATGTATTTTCCCCATTAAGCATGGAAAACTCATCTGAACCCAGTGACCATATCTGAACCCATCTGAACAACCTCATCTTTTAACTCTTTCTTCAACCAGATCTACCCACATCTGCCCCTGCCACCCATCCTAAGGCTTATCACCCTTTGATGGGTCTCAAATGTGCTGCACATGCCTCCACAGTAAGTATGGAAAATCAAAGAAAATAGACACTCAGCATAAATACACAGGCTCCTTAAAAGTCTTTTTTTCCTCCTGGCATGACTTTTTTTACATTGAAGTGAAATCTAGAAAAACAAAGAGGGAACACTTTTAAATCCTAACCCCTGACAACCAAGTAGAGCAGGAGCACCTGGTGCCCTAGCTACGGACAACTCTCACGCTCATGAGAGGTAACCTAATCCGTAAAGAGCCACTCAAGTCCTCGGAGGTTCAGGGAGCTACGTCGATCCCCGTCAGGGCTTTCAGCTCTCCTTGCTTTATTCTCCTGAGGTGAAGTCTTAGGAAATAAAGTTAATGAATGTTAAAGATTTCTTCAAGGTCAGGTTTCTTACATCCTCAAGTTTCCAGACAAAGTGGCCCAGAAACTAGCCCATAAAATAGGGGAGGTAGGGCCCTCCCTGGTGGTGCAGCGGGTATACGCAGTACTAAGTGGCTAAAGCCAACCCAGCATAAGTTCGATCCCCCTGCCCCACAGGTGACCCACATGGCGCAGCAGACCTCTCCTGACCCGATCGCTGCTCCCCTCAGCAGTGTACTTCGATGATCTGCCTGTTCTGCCCCCCCAACTGTCTCTGGTGAATCCTCTCCCTGCCCCTGCACCTCTGGCCTGTACTCCAGTTTTGTATGAATGAATGAATGGATTAGATTAGATTAACAGATAGATTAGATTAGATTAGTAGATAGATTAGATGGATAGATAGACAGAAAGACAGACAGGGGACGTAAAAGAACCAGCTCTTAAGGGTGCCACGTCTCCCTTTCTGCTAAAGCTTCAGGTGTTCTAGTCATACCTCATACCTGCTGCCAAGTAATTCAGCCCACAAGACCCAGTAATGCTCTATAGGGAAGGGACTCGGGTCATGGTTTATGACTCTAAACCCCACACACCACTCTTCTCTCAAGTGAAAAAAGAAAAGGTAAGAAAAGAATGGAGATAAAGAAAAACCATATTCTTCCCAACAACTTGCTGTGACAAACCAAAGCCAAGGGTCAGTGTATCAGTGAGCTCTCCCTTTCCATGCTGGCATGTCATCACAGAGCAGGTACTCCAGGGCCAAGACTCACCTGCTGACATGGCCATAGTGGTCCCAGCCACCATGCCCATGGTGACCCCATTGCCTCTAGGCGGAGGGATGGGAGCAGGATACACCGTTGCCGGCATGCCGTTGGGCTGCACCACTGTGGTATGGTGGATGACGTGAGGGGGTGCTGCATACAGAGGCTGTGTGTAGTACGTGCCTTGCTGTGGGGAAAAAAAAAACAATTGCTACCTGCCCAGCAGGTCAGAGCCCAAACGGACCCACATCCACATAGTCTAAGAGCACTGTTAGAGACCCGCACACCTACCTGTGCATACGGACTCTGCTGGGGATAGGCACTTCGCACGGGGTAGACGGCAGTCTGGTAGGGGTTGGGAGAGGAGGAGTATGGTGGCACGGCCCCACTGGTGGGGGAACAGGACACTTTGTAAGGAGTGCCAGGAGTATAACCTGAAAAAAAGAAACCCGAGGGCCTTAGTCCAACCCACATTCACCCAACCATGGTCAAACATAGGAGAAGGGATCCAGTGTGAGGTGAGGAATGAGCTGTGTGTCCTGTTCTGATTGTAATCAAGACCCCCACACCCTTGTGGCCCTGTCCATCCTCCTCTATGCTTCCACTTCATTTCCTATAATGTAGGGGAGCACACACATCTGCACGTGTGTGTGTGTTTGAGGTGGGGTTGGGCAGGGAGCAAAGGACAAAGTTCTACCAAGCTTAAACTCACATAGGAACAGGAAGCAAATACCTATCAGTCAGAATATAAATGGGTACAGTCTTCCTGGGCACAATTTGGCACTAGATTTATTTTGATCCCGTAATTCCACTTATAGGAATTAGTAAACATGGACTTGAATGAAAACATGCATGTTTGTTTATCACAGCACAAGGCGAAGAAGGACTATCAAAGGTCAAGGTTTAACTAAAAACCCTACAGGAAAGACTTTTGGGTTAAGATATTAAGTTTGGGGCCCTCCCTGGTGGCGCAGCACTAAGAAGCTAAAGCCACTTCAGCATGGGTTCGATTCCCTGCCTCTTCTGACCCGCCCGCTGCTCCCCTCAGCAGTGTACTTCATCAGTTGGCCTGCTCTGCTCCCAACTCTGTCTCTGTCTCTGGTGAATTCTCTCACTGCCCCTGCACCTCTGGCCTCTAACCAAGATCTACATGCATAAATAAATAAATCTTTAAAAAAAGAATATTAAGTTTGAACACATAGTAAATCCACCTTTGTCCCCATCAAAATGACAATTAAGAAGATTAATAAATGAAGATAAAAGCTACAATACCAAGAATAGAAGACCTTTTGGAACCTAAAAAGCAGAAGTGGATAATGATTCAGCAGACTCAAGGATACTGCACTTCAAGCCAGTAAAGGTCAAGAAACTCCTAACACAAGAAAGCACCTTCCCCAAGATTCAGAAACTAGTGTGGGCTACTACAGGGGAGAGTGGCTGAAATCTATCTGGTAAGCAATGCCCAGCTCCCCATCCTAATAAAGAGTACAAGTTTATTCTCTTGGGAGGGTAAGAGAAGACCTCTGGATTGAAATGTTCAAAGCAGTTCTATTCACAATGATCAAAAATCTATCAGCAAAGTGTGGCGCCTCCATACACTGTACTACTACTTAATAACCAAAAGGGTGCGAATGCTGATAAACACAGTATGGGACAAATGCCCACATGGCACAGCAGCCAGGCACAAGAATACACGCTTACTGAGTCCACTGATATACTCTAGGGAAGACCTCAGTGACAGAAAAATCAATCAGTAATGGCCAGAGGGCACAAGGAACACTTTCAGCATAATCATCACTTGACTGGTGAACTAGGACATTTGTATATAGTAAAGAAAAGGGCTTTACTATATACAAATTATACCTCTACAAAAACTCTCACAATCCATCCTACAATTTCTCTATCACTAGGATGGCCAACATGGTGAAGTGCTCCACACGGTCTGTAAGTATCAGACAAGTGCTCAGATAATTTTCACATTCTCCTCTCACAGGGTCCAGCAACTCACTCCTGGATATTTTCCCTGAAAAATATTTCTCTACTAAGATCTGTAGAAAATACTCACCAATCTTATATTCATAAGAGCCAAAATGTTCATCACCAAGATAGTACAAGCACATAGACATTGGTTAGTATTAAAAGGAAAAAACTGGATGAACCTTAAAGTAAAAATGTTAACCTCTGAAACATCAGACACAAACTCTATCTCATCTTTGATACCTAACAAGAACATGTACCAATCAGAAAGGGGAGCAGGTATGATCTATAGAACGGAGAGCCTCAGGAATGATAAGTGTTTGGTATTTTGTTCCAGGGTGATTACATGAGTATGCAGAAGTGTCAACATTCATCCAAATGAACACTTAATGTTTTCACACATAAATTATTATCTCCAGTGTAAAAAATAAGCTGTGCATCAAAAACATTAAAAGTTAAAATTTTAATAACATTATTGGAGTGTATTTAAAAGTGCCTATCTATTTTTCTTAAAGGTAAGAGAAAACACATAGCTCACAGGATATAGACTGGTTTCAAATGGTCCTTTTTTTTTTTTTTTTAAAGATTTATTTATTTATTTATGCATACAGAACTGGGGTACAGGCCAGAGGTGCAGGGGCAGTGAGAGGGTTCACCAGAGATAGAGTGGGAAGCAGAATAGGCAGATTGACAAAGCACACTGCAGAGAGGAGCAGCGGGCAGGTCAGGAGAGGTCTGCTGCACCATGTCGATCATCTCCCGGGCAGGCAGGGATCGAACTCATGCTAAGTGGCTTTAGCTTCTAAGTGCTGTGCTTTAGCCCACTGCGCCACCAGGGAAGGCCTCAAATGGTCCTTTTTAAAAAAAAACTAAAAGAAACTGCTCAGTCCAAGAGACTTATCCCTTGAGTAAAGTCCTAGCACTCCTTATCAAAACTATTATGTACTGTATGTGCTCAAACCAGGTAATTAATTCCTGAACTCAGTTTCTGAAGAGCGATGAGATTCTGAAGAGAAAAGATCCTCCCAGGTTTCCCTGATTTACTCTGAAATTAACCATTATATTAATTTAAATAAAAACAAAGTCAAAATCTGAACACACCAGTTATCCACAGGGGGCAGTCCTGAGACAGGTCCCAAGATCTGTCCTAGAAGCCTGCAAGAACACCAAAGCACCAAACCCAAGAATGTTGTTTTTCTTATACATATGTGCCTATGACTTTCTTATACATACATGCCTATGACTAAGTTTTACTCTACACATTACACACTGTAAGAGACTAATAACTAATAATAAACTAAATGTTTATAATAATGACATATTAACTAATAATAAACTAAATGTTTATAATAATGACATATTAACTAATAATAAACTAAATGTTTATAATAATGACATTACAACAAAAGCTATGCAGGTGTGTCACTCTAAAAACAGCTGATATAAATAACTGCAACCAAACAGAGTGGAACCTGGGTAACGGAAACAACTGCATTAGCCTTAGCTGAAGGAGGGCAAAATAAACAGGCTTTCAGCTAGGATCTGGAGAAGTGACTTCAAGAACAAGAATAGTTAAAAGTCCCTCTCTCTAGCAGCTCATCTCTTAGTCTTTAAGAGGGGTTAAAAAAGAAAGTGCTTGGGCCTCCTTAGTGGCACAGGGGTTATCCAGGCTATGAAGCTATCACCAGACACTGACTGGGGCATGAGTTTGATGGCATAAGTTTGATCAGGTCAGGGAGTTGACCCACATGGTGCAATAGACCTCTCTTGTCTCACCCTCTGCTCCCCCTCAGCTGTATATTTCAGTAAATCCACTTGTTCTGCTCTCCATTCTGTCTCTGGAGAAAATCCTCTCACCCCCACCCTACCCACCTTTGGCCTACACCTCAGTTCTTATATACATAAATAAACCTTAAAAAAGAAAAGGAAAGTGCTGGGTTCGTGATACATTTATGTTAATCATTAAATCTTTACTGTAGCCAATTATACCACCAAAGGTTGTACAACATTCCCTTTAGTTGTGAAGGAAAATAATAACCTGAAAGCCATTCATTTCTAACCAGACACTACCACTCCCAAGCTCCATGACATGAATGACTGGCCAGATGAGGAGGCAATGAGACTGGGACATGGTGGGCACACCACAGCCTGTCAGAAGCGATGGAACCTCCATTTCAGCATCACATGCCAGAGGGATGGAGAGGGAGTAAAAGTAGAGGGAGGGTAAAATTTCAGTGGGCAGAAACTGTAACTTGACTGAGCAGGGAAAAGTCCAGCCTTCTCCTGTTGAGGCTATCAACAGAGCAGCACTGATAATCCTGATCAGCAAAAACAGACGTCAAATGATCCCTCCCACCCCCCCAAAAAAAGAAACTGTGTGGATGAAGGTAAGACACACAGTCTATATGTGGCTAACTCCCTCCTTCCCCAATCACCTCTGTCCTTCACTTCTCACAGCCTTACAGCAGCACTCACAGGAGGACTCTAAAAGATGGCTCCCTCCCACTCTTGGGTCTAAATGAAGCTTCTTTTCCATTGTCTCACCAGCCCCATACAGATATCCTCTCAGGAAAACGGAACCCTTGTACACTGTTGTGGGAATTTGGACTAGTCCATTTCCAATGGAAAACACTGGTGGTTTCTCAAAATGTTAAAAAGTACCAACAGATCTGCCAGATGATCCAACAATCCCACTCACTAGAATCTACCTGAAGAATGCCCCCCCCCCACAAAAAAAAAACAAAAAAACACTAATTTGGAGAGATATATGCACTGATGCCTACTACAGCATTATTTGTAAATGACAGGAGTGGATTAAGGAGATGTGGTACATATAAATGACAGAGTACTACATAATTATATGAACAAAAATAGACGAACTCTTGCCATTTGAAACAATAAGGATGGACCCAGGGGGGATTCTGCTGGGTGAAGACAGCAGGAGAAAAAGTACCAGATGACCCCTCTCACTATGTGGAATATACAGAAACAAAACAAACTCAAAAAACTAAACCTAATCAAACCCTAAAAATATGATGACAGAAGTGAGACTACTGGGAGGGACAGGAAAGCAAAGGGGGAAGAGGATTTGCTGGCCCATGGTAAATGACTATGGGTGCTTTTAGTGGTGGGTACAGTATGGTGCACACATCTGAGGTTTCAATCTGTGAATCCCTAAATCATATGAGTACTACAAACAATATTATCTCAATTAAAATGATAATAGGCTATTAAGAAAAAAAAGGGGGGGAGTGAAGGGAGACTCCCTCCAGGAGCCACTAAAAACAGTATCTGACAAAAAGGTGATCAACTTTTTATAAAACTACCAGATGATTAAAATATTTACAGAACTGCCCTCTTTTGTGTCATATTTTGAGAACAAATGATAGAATTTCTGGTACTAGCCAGTTTTCCTATGGTTAAAGAGGAGAAACCAAGGAGGCACCCTGCCTTCATT